ATTAATGAATAGAACATATTGCTTATAAAAATGGTTGTGTCATAATTATTGTTTTTTGTGTGTTGAAGGTATTCTGTATTCAAAATTTGCAACTACTTTTGAAAGATAAAAAAAGGGTGCATTATGATATACATTGATAAGCATCATGGATGGAATATCTTTTAACTGTGTTTGAAACTTTTGTTCTCAAATTCTTAATACAAAATCTGTACCAACAAAATATTCTGCTTTTAGCTGCAACCTTTATCAGCGATGTGACCCGACACGACCTTTGGACTGTATTAAACTGAAAGATTACAAATTAGGGGGGTATTCATATAAAAGCATAAGATTTAAAGGTGGAAATAATGAAGAACGGAGATCAAAATTACATTTTCTTCAAATACCAGATAAAAGCTTTAAGACCTTACAGAGAGAGGGGGAATAGATGGAGGAGAGAGAGAGAGAGAGATAGGAGTTATAGAAAATAAAAAGAGGGCATAGTAAAAATAGGACGCTATATATTCAAGAAGTGAAACAGAAAGAGTAAAGAAGATAGAGAGGGATATAAAGGAAGAAAGAGGATTTAGAATTTAGATTAAGAAATGGTGAAGAAGATGATGACAATGGAGATGGTGGTGGTGATGATGCTGGTGGTGGTGGTAGTAATGATGATGATGAATTGAATTGAATTGATATCTTTATTTATACATGGTTTAAAAAGCCCAAACAGTTACAAGACTGATTTCCTTCGGGGCCGTCTGAAACGATGTAAATACATCAAATAAACATCATTTGTGACTTTTTTTTGTTTTTTAATGATTTGAGTAAACATATCATTTTTTTTTTAAATGATAGTGGTGGTGGTAATGATGATGATGGTGGTGGGGGTGGTGGTGGTGGTGATGATGATAATGATCTGAGTACACGATAAAACAAGTGTATTCTAAGATCTGACCTGAGCACCTTCCTTGCAGGCTTGAGTATTGGAGGGTGGAGGAGGCGTAAATACTGATCAGTTTCATATCATCCTCGTATTTTCTGAAAGACAAATATTGATATAAAAGGAATCCCAGTAAAATCTCAATATATAATCTCATGCACATCCAAGGGATGTCAGCCTATGTATGGGACATAGCATTTCCCTAATGTTCTTTTTTTTATTTTTATGACAATTAAGATGAAGGTACCCGGGCAAGAATATTTGGGAAAATTTATTTGATAATCATACTTATATGTGAAGGTATCCAAATTTTAAATTCACAGGAGAATATTTCACTAGATGATTTGCTATAAATCGATATATTGCAAAAGATTTTCTTTCCGATTTTGCTTCGATTGTGGGCATTTTATATAAATGCAAAAATTAGTTTTGGTCTGCAATCTAGAAAGGAAATATTAATTGTAACAACTCCTGTGAATGACAAATTTTGGCCCGATTTTATCACGCATTATGCAAATATTTGGTCTTAGTTTATTATGAGTTTGATTTTACAATAGTTTTCCAATTCTCTTAGCTCGAGTATTTTCTTTCTTTGTCCAAGGAAGCACGGTCTTTAGGCCCGCTACATGAATTTTCACATTTTTGCGCCTCCCTCAAAAGGAAAATGCAAGGGGTCCCCGCATTCTAGTTCTTAGATCAATATTGCGGATCGGATCGAGCGCGATCACAGAAAAAAAAAGTCGAGCGCCAGCTAGCGACGAAAAATCAAAAGCTCATAAATAAATCTAAAACAATCATGGCTGCTTTCCAGCGGCAATTTCAAGCTGTTCGGAGATCTTTCAGACGGAAAAAGCGTGATTACGACGTTGTGTTTGAATGTACACCCGTCGTCAAGCGGCAGAAGATTGGCAATTTCAGACCTGAAATATCAGAAGAGGTAATGTTGTGGCATTTTCTTATTTACTTTAGATCAATATCGTGTCTTTGTTTGAAATCGGATAAGTGCAGTGTTATTTGAAGTGCAAATGCAAGTGGTGATTGAATTTGCATTTGCCGTTACACCGATGCAGATGACAGTGCAGGGGCAGTGCTTCCGGGTATTTAGGCCAAGTCTTGTGGGTTGGGCACGCGCATCATGTTGGGTGTGGTGTGTACGTGTGCCACTGTACTGCTGTATTCCTCTAAATTGATTACTTTAAAAAGAGTTTACACTTTAATCTACCCCCGATGAAATACATTGTAGGCCTAACTTTTAGATTCTAGATCTAATTTGGACGAGTAGACTAGAGTATGAGCTACATCGTACATACACATGATGCATGAGAATGTGTAAATGTGTCAAATATTTTTGAGCAAGAAATTATGTTTTTGAAGAACAGTGATGAGTGGAATCGTATTAATCTAATCTAGATCAAGTGAAATCTAATGAAATAAATGAATTTGAATTTGACTTTATGTCTTGCTAATCATGCTCATTATTGTGTTGAGTGTTGTGTTTATGTCATGTGTGACACCGTCCGTCAGTGTAATTTGTCATTCATTTGTTGTTTCAAATTGAGATGTTCCTTAAAAAATGTAGGTCTATGTGTGGCAGTTCGGGCATGTCAGATCAGGGGTGGTATCAGAGCATGATTTTACCACTTTTTATCTTTGATTTTATCTTTCATTTTATCTCAATCTGTTAGTACTTCTTGCGTACCCATAACCAGTAGGGGCGCTGGTCCGAGAATAATGATCGTCTTCATAAACAAAGATCGTCTATGTAAACGCGGACCAATGCGTCCTCAAAAACAAGGATTGTCTGCTCCATGATGTTCCATATTTTTGATCGGCACATTGGCGAGGCAAAAAAACGGATTCCGGGATGATTTTCTTGATGTATTTTACATTGACTTTGTACAGAGACCTTCACATTATGAGCAATAAATCCTTTGGAAGACAGACAACCCATAAAAGTAGACAGTCAACTAGGGTTGTTTTCCCCTGGGGAATCCAAATTTGGCACCCGAAACCAGCAGAGCGCCGATGAAAAAAACGTCCGCGAAAATGCAGACGATCCTTGTTAATGAGTACGCATTTCGTCCGCGTTTATGAGGGTATCCTCGTTTCTGAGGACGATCCTCATTCTCAGAAGAGCGCCCCCTACTGATAACAGTGATTTGCAGCTTAAACGTAGTTTTAATGCTGACCCTCATATTATTTTATTTAAAAGTTAAGATAAGACTTAAAATATACTCTTTTCACACTGGTTTTGCTTAGCCCCGTACTATCCTTAACCCCGGACTATTTTTTTTTGCTTTTCACACACGATGTTTTTAGTCCCGTACTAGCGCCTATTCCAGAATAAGAAAATTCCCGCTGTTCTCACTGCATTTCATTAACCCCGGATATCGTGAATATTATGATTGGACATATTTCGCATCTGGCCAGCTGCGATGCGGTCCATTGCGTAGTACCGGACTATTTTTCGTTTCTGTTCTCATTCATTTGCTTAGCACCGCACTTGCGGGGTTAGCAGGAGTTAGCACCACAATTGCAGAGTTAGCCCTGCTATTTTGCAGGGTTAGTTAACCCTGTACTATAGGTGGGGTTAGCCAACTTTAGCCCACTTTGGTAAAAACCAGTCTGAACAGAAAGTGGAATAGGGGCTAAGCCCCCCCTTAACCCCACCTATAGTACGGGGTTAAGCAAAATATTGCCAGTGTGAAAACAGTAATAGAGTAGGGACTACGTACTTTATCTCTCAGATGGCAGTATCGGATAAGGGTAATATTTAATAGTCTTGTGATCAAATGAACAAAATTAAGCCTGACTATATTTCTCCAAGTCCAACTGTCCAAGTATTATAGAGTTCATTAAAAAAAATATCCCAGCAATTCCACGTTTCGAATTTTGAAAATTTTGAAAATAATGCATGTACATGTCCCTGAGGGACTGGCAGAGAGTGGTTTTATTTGCTGAACATGATGACAGTAAAATCTAACACACACCATTCCTTAGTTTCGCACATGGGCATATCCACACACAACCAATTCATCATATAACTATCCTGAAATGGTATAGTTATACAATGAAATTGTGTGTACGCTTACTAAGGATACGTCATATAACGAAATGCAGGTCTGGGCATCGTTTCGAAATAGAACTCAATAAGTAATCACGGAATGTGTTGTGTGTGGACTAGTATAACTGGTCGAACTTAACGTGACCACGTGCAAAAGGAGACCTGACTTCTCATTTCCGCTTGCGTTTCATGACCGCAGTAGTAAACTGCGCACCTATACGATGTTTCGCTGTAGAGTTTGGGGATTACTTTCTTGGGTGTGTGGATGCCCTTGAATTTATACGATGATTCTTTATACAACGTTTCTTTATAGAGTTTCAGGATAACAAATTTTGTGTGTGGACATGCTGTTTAGTGAGATAAAATCTCGCTAGTTTGATTCTGAGAATACCGATTTAAGAAAGAATTAAAGGGTATTTCCACTCACTGAGATGAAATAAATCTCATAATACCACCCCAGGTATGCAGACTAAATCTTCTTCTTTTTTCAACTAAAAAAGGTGAGGAAGCTGTGCATTTAACATTTTGATTGTCCCCAGAATATAGTTTTCTTCTTTATTGTTTGACTTCTAATCATACTCTGAAAATACCCCTTCACTAGATTTTCAGAAAGGGTTCAGAATTTAAAAATGTACTGTATATATATAAAACAAAATGCCTCTTTATTTTTATTTTTACAAAGCGATTTGTGTTAAAATGACTAAAAATAGCATTAGAATTGTGGCTTTTCACAAAATTTCTTGATGTTCTGATATTTCGTTGCTCATTATTCAACTCAACCTGTACCAACCAGCACAGTGGATGTAAGGTTATTGTGTCATCTGGACATGTGCAGTTTACAACTTTACATTCATTCATGTTTTATTTTGTAAACTCTGCTATTTTTTAGTAGGTATACATGTACATGTACATATTTTTTCCTTCTCTCTCTCTCTCCATGATTGTGTGATGCCCCTCTTATACTATCTGTTTGATACTTTTCCATGTAATTTCTATGCAATAAAAGCACATACATGTACATCCACACACATATTATGTTAACATTTTCATCACTTGAAAAGTGGGGTGAGAGAATATCTTTGGTTTGTAGCTGCTTTGGTTAGGCTGTATAATTCTTATTCTTTTATAATTAATCAAATTGTACAAATATATTCACATCAATCATATAATTGCTATGCACACATACACTGAACATGCAGGCCTTCATGTACCAAGTTTTGGTTAATAACAAGAGTCGTCATTACCTCAACCTCATTTTGAAACAGGAAACACAATTAAGAACGAATGTGGCCCATGTGCTTTGGATAACTTCTTTTGTTTGTGGTTAGTTGTTGTTTCCAAGCAAAAGTACCTGCCATTGTGTGTGTAATTTGACACTCCCACAAGTACTCACACCAGTGCATTGGAGAGTCAGGAGACTTCAAAGGATTTGGGTTCAGGTGGGATTAACCTTAATCCCCCCTCTTTCTAAGCTACTATGAGGTCACTCCATTAGGACCCTCACCTTTGATTGAAGGGTGAAACAGATGGTTTAGTCATTGGTAGCAGATTTCATTCATTGATGCCCAGACCAGCCCAGACACAGGATGTTCTCAATCGGTCCCTGATCGTGCTCAGTTGCTTGCTCGCTCAGTTGCTCGCAAAGTCTCCTTGCACATACACATACCTTCACGTGTTGCTCCTCCACAGCTCCACTGTTTCTTTGTTTTTGTTCGTTCCCTGTGACTCCTGTATATTTGTACACTTGTAAGATGAGACAATAGCTAGGGTGCGAAAACAAGATTTTGGGGAGAGAATGAGAGATTCTTATACTTTTGTTCTGGTTTGGAGTTCACTGTTTCACTCAGGCGGTTCATCATTGAGGGAATAACAACACCATACAGTGGAGTTTGATCATTTAGTACATACACACAGTAAGTAACTGCCAACTATTACCATTACAATCCCACATTGATTTAACCCCTTCATTTTTATTTCTACCAGTACCATGTGATATTGTTAACATGTTGACAATTTTGAAAGAACCTTGAGGATTCACTGAAATGTTCTTTCCAAAAACCAAATTAAAATGCTGCAAGTTTTAATTTGATGTGGTCTAAACGGGCCATCTTCTGATGATTTATTTCAGGACAATTTTGAGTCGATTTCTCTTGAAATACATTGTTATTAGATCAACATTACTTTCATTCTATTTTCAGTTCTCAACCCTTCATCATGATGCATGATGCAAAGTGTAACTTCACAGGCTACAATAAGTTTAGCCTACGGGTGTAACTACTTAGGCTATAGTACCGGTATACATGTACACAATCAACTATTGTATTATTCTGAAGAGATACATGTACATGTAGCCCTAGATCAAATATTAGGCTTGCATGCTTGGGGATCCTCTAGAAGTGTACTTCTGATTTTAAGAAGCTTACTGTTTGACCACTCAAAATGAAGAGTCCTTCCGATTATTAAGAGGATGGCATCATTTGACAAAATAACCCTCGGGCTCATTGAGTAAGTTCTTCAGCATCAGGGTGTGGAAGTAAGAGCTAAGAGGTAATCCTGTTGAAAACTTCCAGTCGTTCTATTGCATCGAGTGGTACTTGTTCTGAACCAAACTTATTGGCTCGAATTCACAAAGGAGGTTTGAGCTCAGACCAAGGTTTTCGTACGTCATATGACGCGTTTTACGCATTTTTTACAAACCTGGTTTGTAAAGAACAAAAGGAGGTTTGGCGAAACAAAAGGAGGTTTGAGCTCAAACCTTGCTTTGTGAATTCGGGCCATAGTGAATGCATGGTGGGTGGGTGCAAATGTATTACAGGAAAAAAAGTGGTATTGGGAAGACCATTGTTTGTCCAGTCTATTTTAAAAAGAATTGAGTGATGGTGTTGAGACAACAGATGAAGGAAGACTATTCCAGGACTCATCCACTCATATCAGACCTAAGACCTTTTTTGTGGTGGGGTGTGGTGTAGAAATGTTGAGCAATGCCTTTTTTTATGATCAAAGAAAGGACCAACTTCTATTCCAGATTCATTGGTTTTAAAATCTAAATCATTCAGAACAGCAGGGTTTTGTTTAGAATGGAACTTGGAAGGAATTGTATTGAATAGTGGCAAGTGAGTCAAGTGACAATAAATGCATTTGAAAGAACACGCTAGAATTTAGAAATAGCAAGATAATGACGACATTAATCTCTAACTTTTTTTTGTGCCAGTGCACTCAGTCCAAATAGGGCAATAATAGTGGGTTTGGATTACTGAGTCAGAAAACCTTCATGGAGGGTATTCATTGGTCAGTTATAGAACTGAAGTATATTTACAACTTAAACTGCCCAATCTCATTTTAATACCCTACCTGGTGACCATGTACATCATTGCTTAGCAGTATTTTGTATACATGCTGCTGACTCTGGGGTAATTTGTAGCTTCCTTTCTTTACTGACAGCTCGTTGATACGACTGACTGACTGACTCACCTACGGTCCCAGACTGTTGTTTGACAAACCTGATAATATCTTAATCCGTCAATACCAATAGGTAGAAATTGATTAATTCTGTCAACAGAACGTGATTACCGGTGTGGTATTTGATCAAGGAAACAGACAATGGTGTGAAATGGGTAAATGTAATGGACCGATGATTATACAACGTAATCAACTCTTTTGAATAACAACGATATTCATTAATTATTTTGAAGGAGAAGGAGGAAGTGATGGAGCATGCAAAGTGTAGGCGATTTGTAGGCGACTTGTTTTAGAACAGAGAGGAAATATAATAAGAAATGAGAGATGGAGAATGAGGAAGGCTCATGGAGAAATGGAATGAGAGAGAGAGAGAGAGGGGGTGGTAGGGGGAGGGAGGGTGAGGACTGGAGAGTAGTGAGTGAGAGAGGAGGGGGGACAGAGGGAGAGAGAAAGAAAGAAAGGGAGAGGAGATGGAATTGGTAGGCTTACAGAGAAAGTGTAAGAGAAAGATAGAAAAAAGTGCAGAGAGTCAGAGATAGAGAAATGAAAAGGAGAGGAAAGTTGGAAGATGTTAGTTGGACACAGAGGTGAGCAACAGAGAGGGAAAAAGTGAGAGATAGAGAACGAGGCAGGATCACAGAGAAATAGAATGAGAGAGAAAGGGAATGTGAGAGATAGGGAGTGAGTGAGAGAGAAGAGGGAGAGAGAGAGAGAGAGAGAAGATGAGAGGAAGGGGAGGAGGTTGTAATTGGTAGGCTTACAGAGAAAGTATATTAAGAGAAAAATAGAAAAAAAGTGCAGAGATTCAGAGACAGAGAAATGAAAAGGAGAGGAAGGTTGGAAGATGTTAGTAGGAGGGAGAGAGAGAGAGAGAGAGAGAGGTGAGCAAGTACAGTACAAAGTTCAATTTTACTAATGTACATGTATTATAATTCACAGGAAAGCTTTTGCATACAACTGTCTCAAGCTAGTGCTGCTGGTCACTGACCTTTGCCTGAGGAGCTGCCATTGTAATCTACTCAGCTAGGGTTAAATACAAGTCATGTGTTAATTGTGCTTCATTTTCACTTTGTGTACCAATAACTATGTAAGCAGCTGTGAAAAAGGAAGGAAAGCCTCATAATGAATAATTTTTCATCTGGTGAAATGAACATCAGATATTGCATACGTAGACAATGTCCTCCAATACTCTTTTTTTCTATTTCCTTCTCTATGTTCATCTTCCCTCTATGATCTCCCTTCCTGTTGTACTTTTGTCATTGCGCATAGTGAACATTTGTTGCCTAAATACTTGTACAGTGAACAACTAAATTATTCATACCCCTTGTAAATTTGATTTGATTTGTTTTTATTTTTTAATGTAAAAAATGACAGGTGGACTTGGTTGCATTATGACCTTTGGTGAGTACCTTTAGATGTAAGCTTAGATTTGTATGTGTCACTTTGTAAAGAAAAGTAAATCCAGACAAATCAACTGTTAACATACAACTGTCAGCTGTACTTAAAAAATTACTAAAAGTTGGTGATGGTATATAGTGCTGTAATGTACTATGTACATGTATGTTGGTTCATTAAAACCTGTCTATAAAGGCCTACAGTACAGTACATGTGTACAAAATAAATGTATGTGGTCTTTCTAGGTTTTTATAGTCTGCAACCATGTAAGGAAGCTTGAAAAGAGATAGTATCGACATGTACACTGTATCTACAGGGACAGGTGGTCTAGATGTACATTTGTACATCTAGAGGTGATCTTTACATCACTCAGCTTTGGCTGTAGATGTGCATACAATATGTACTTTTTTATATCTTTTCTTTTCCTTTTTTTTATGGAACTTAATTGTCATTTTCTTTGTTAACTAATGTGCCTTGCTTTCAGTTTCATACATCTGAGCCCTGTCTTTCAAAGAGTTGATATCAATCGGAACTACATGTAAGAGATAGGAGACGACAAACTTGCAATTGATTTGAGGACTTGCGATTGATTTGGATCAATCATTACTCTTTGTAATAGTGTTACTATCCTGCTCTAAAATTCATCCCTACCTCAGGCTCGGGCATTTCCTGCCTGGTGCATAGTCAGAAATGGTCATATTGTAATCACACTTGTTCACAGGTTCTTTGTTCTTTGAAAGAGTAGAAAGTTGTAGAAATTTTTCCTTTTCACCACTATGGGGCGAGGTCAAAAGTCTTAACCTTTTGCTTCCTGTAATGATTTTCATTTCCCGCTCCTGTTACCAATCTATAAGGGGCTTTAGAGAAATTAGAGGTGCCAAAGCCAGAGGTCTCATTTTGAAAGTCTGTTTATGGTTACACCCTAAAACTATATATGAAATGTACTGGAAAAGAACTGTAAAATAGAATATAAGTAAATAGAGAGGGAAGAGGACAAAGGAGAGAGAGAGAGCGAGAGGGGAGGGCAAAGGTAGAGGGAGATAGGAAGAGAGAGAGAGAGAGAGAGAGAGAGAGAGAGAGAGAGAGAGAGAAGAGGTGGGGTGCAAGGGTTAAAGATGGTAATGACACACAGAGCGAGATTATACATGTGTGCGCCTGTATTACTATGTAATTGTAACATGTAAAATACATTACAATAATGCCCTTTCTTTTTTGTTGCAGTCCAAAGTTGTGGTCTTCCACAAAGTCATTTGTGGTTGGGATTGCTTGCAAGATATATTATATATATATTATTCCCCCCAGTGCACACTTATATGGTAGGCCTATTGTACTACGAAGTTGTCATTTGCCCCCCCCCCCCCCCCCCTCCCTCTATATGCTTGCAGATTTTTTAGTCTTAACTCTTTTACAATTCCGTTTATCAAAACAAATAATTAAATCAATAATGAAATTGACTGTCAAAACATGACCAATCTGCTACGTGGCCCAATCTCATTGTGCCTTTATACCACCGCATCCATTGTTAGAAACGGTTCAATGCTTTTCCTCAAAACACTGTTCCAAGATAGATGATTCACTATGTTTACTCTAGAAATGGGTTCTATGGTTTCCAATCATTGCTTTTCAATAACTTGTTTCAAAACTAAAAGTTGTCATTTGTCATTGGGTGCTGTTGACATTTGTCACTTGTTTAAGTACATGCAAGCGCACTGTCATTGTGTAATTTATCTCCCAGTTTCAGCTGCTACTGAAAAGTAAGCATAATCACTGTTAGTTTTTTTTTATTCTCTTATTTGCTCTTGAATATTTCTTGTGATGCTATTTTCAACTAAACCTTTCTGTTATATGTAGTGTTTGTACTGCCCTTTGTTCTTATTTGATTGATGTATCTGAATCATGTACTTTTGCAGTCTCCATTCCACTTACCGGTATAGTATCTATTTTTCATTGGTCGGAGTAAAGTCTACTGCAAGTACATGTAGTTGATAAGAATTATTAAAAAATATATCAATATTACAGTGAGACAAAACAATTAGAGCTTCATGTACATGTATGTGTC